TGTAACTAAGGGTATGTCTACACTGCCACCCTAGTTCGAACTAGGGTGGCTAATGTAAGCATTCGAACTTGCAAATGAAGCCCAGGACAACTCGCATTTATTCAAAATGAGGGAATTTACATTGTGTTGATGGTCCAGATGTGTTAATATCTTCCTATTATCTTTGAATGCCTCCCCAAACCCCAGTTTTATCCATTTATTGTACAACCTAGGGAACTTGAAGTCAGATTTGTGTAAACAAATGGTTTGGGAGTTAGCCCTTCTCTAGTATCACCTCACAACAGGATTGCAGAGATATAAAAGCTGACCAACAGTTCTAAGTGTGTGTGTGTGTGTGTGTGTGTGAGATATATACACACATTCTTTACCATAATCTGTATACATCTAGGACTAGTCTATAGCACAATGATGTTGTATGCAATAAGTAGATTTAGAGGTTTATTTTTAATGTTTAAACCTTCTGTTCTAATCTTGGGGTTTGTCTGGACCTTGATTGTTACGCCCAGCAAGCTGAGTTTGCAGGAACTCTTATTTCCAGTGTGAGCTACCATTGCTATCCAATATGGCAATATGTAAAAATAAAGAAATGTAAAGTGATACAGGCTGAAGAGAGAAAGGAAACAGAATACCTTTGTCATCATAAATACAGTGAAATCTATCTCTCAATTCCAATAATTTCTTAACATACCGGAAGTCTAAATAATTCCATCTGTGAGGCCACTTATTGTACAGAATAGAAAAAAATTAAATACACTGAAATATAACTCCATCAGAGGATTATTGTTTCATTCTTTAAAAAAAAATTACTCTTGACTTTGCCTTGGCATTTGTATTCCACAAGTTCCTCAGTTTTTCCTCTGCCTGTATGTAGCAATAGGAACCATTATTTTGTGGCAATGTTCAATTCTGTTAATATAATTTTATAGTCAATGATTTTTAATTACACTTATACTGATGTTTTATTCATTGTGATCCAATGTAAGAGTCTGGTTTCTTCAGCGAATGGCTTCCTAATGCTTAAAAACTAAAAATATATAAGCATTCTTCTGGGAACTGTGCTAAACTTTCCCCTTGGTTTGCAAATGAATGAATAGCTTACCTCTTAAGCTCCAACATAATAACTGTATTACATCTTCTAGAAAAAAATGTGTAGAAACCAAAGGGTTTCTTAGAATTGAAGGTTTGCTCTTTAAATGGAAAACATGAAAGATGGCAGGAAGAAGCATTAGCCAACTGTAATCTGTACCAAGGAAATGGAAAGGGAAAAAGACATTAAGCGAAGTTTACCTCATTCACTGCCACACGGTACTGCTGCTGCTGAAAACGAGGGGAGTTATCATTCCTATCCCTCACCACAATCCGTACTTCATGATAGATAACAGTGCCAACTTTTTTGTTAATGCACTGGACTTGAACCACAATGGATTGAATTGACATTGGTGGCTGTAAATGAGAAAACACATTTTTATAATACACAGAAAGGTGAAATATATTTTTAAAAGATTCAATTTTTTCACTGAAGTCAATGTTACATATGTTTACTATGGACAACTATGTTTTGTATCATATTTACTGTTTTACATTTCTGAATTAAAAAGTTTATCAGGGACAAAACAACCTAGACCTGTCTTTGCAACATTTGTTCTAAAGTAAGGCAGAACCAACACATGCCTCTCATACAGTTTTCCTTGAAGCTTGTCCTGTCTAATAGCATGTTGCTTAATATATCAAATATAGTATTTTTTCAAAATTTATTATCCATTGACACACTGAGAGGACAATAAAGTGACATCTTTGTACGAATATTTAAAATATTGCAAAAGAGATTTATACAATATATGCCATTACATTACAATTTCTAACCTGATTTTGAGTAACAGTGTTTGAATTGAAAGGTCACACTGTTTTTTGGGAACAGCATCAAGTGCATGAAGCCACCACTTACAGTTGCCAACTATTCATAATTTAAAAACTACCAGGTCACCTGTTAGGGTAGGCACTTCAGTGTCCACTTTCTTTTACAGCTGTAAGTAGCATTGATTGAATTTAGCCAGCAATATATTGTAGAAATAATGGATCACTACTCTAGACAACAATTCCCCATGGTTAATATAACACACCTTGTAATGTTACATTCAAATAGATTACCTTCTGCTATATAGGAAGGTCATAAATATGTTAGCAGCAAGCATGCTTGATAGATTAGTGAGCGTTTAGGGACTAGAAATGCTTATAAATATGTTTGAAAAAATCAAGGATTGTCAGAACTAAATCTTTAAATCAGTCAATCTAATTTATTTTTCTTTTGTTTTCTTAAATAGATTAATTCAAGTAAGTACTACAATGATCTATTTTACCAAATGCTCCAATAGTTACCAAAACTAACATCTGCAAATATTAGTTTTTCTTCTATACTAAATACACAAAATATAACAACAATATATGGGCATACTGCAGCTATTCAGCAGCATAACTAGTTGTTTACGTTATATTTTTACATGATTCAGAGCTCAAGGTACAGCTGTTTCTTATAGAGCAAGTTTATAGGAATGGTGTTTAAGAAAGGCATAATTTACTTGGTAAAATTAAACAGTTACTAAAGCTATATTATAATGTTACATTTATTCACATATTTGAAAAACCAAGAAAACTAATTCCACAAAAATTATTTGTGAAACTATGACATGAAAAATAATGAAAACATGGGCCTTAAGTATACAAGGGAAGATGTCTTTCTGCTGAATCTCATCTTTGGATTCCTACCAATCCCATGGGGCTAGCTCTCAGGTTATTCAGAGACAGCTCTATTTCCTGTGATTGCAGTTGTGCTCTGGTGAAGCACTGTACCTAACAGTTTTTAGATAAAGTAAAACAGAGTTATAAACTGACTGGTCATTCATACACCTCAAATGGAACTGTAAGAACACAGTCGGGCAGTAGCACAAATGAACAAAAAATAGAACACCATACATAGTACAGCACTGTATTTAAAAAGGAAAAAAAACTACTAAAAAGAGAGGTTTTTAAAATAAATTTGACAAGGTAAAGAAACTGTTGTTGTGCTGGTTTCATTTAAATAAAGATGGTTAAAACAGCATTTTTATTCTGCATGTTACTGCCAAAGCTATTTTAAATAAATATGCAGCTGTAAACTTCTGAAAGAATAGCCATAAAGTTTCATTCTGAGTTACAAATACTTCGAAACTATAAACAACCTCCATTTTTAAGGTGTTCATAATGCTGAAGTTCTACCATATAAGCAGAGCATGGGAGGATAAAATACAGCCCAGGAGTTCACCCAACATTGCTATCCTGCCAGCCCAGCTGATTATGAACAGGCAGAACAGGCATACTTAGGACAGGACAATGCAGCACTTTAAATAATAACAAGATGGTTTATTAGGTGATGAGCTTTCATTAGTCAGTCTTTAAAGTTATGTATAGTCCTGTCTTTTGTTTCAGCAAGTTCAGACTAACATGGCTACATCTCTATTACTATGCATACTTAGAGCTGTCAGCTGTCCCTCCCCTCACATTGCTCTGTCCTGCAGCTGAGCTACTCCCAGAACTCTCCTGCTAGCTTTGTTCAAAGCAGGGTAGGCAGGAGGGGAGTGCTGAAGTTAGGGTACCCCTTTGTCCCTGTGCCCCATCTCTGCAGAGCAGGGATTAGGGAGAGGGACACACAGAGCAGAGCTCCTCTTGTCTGAAGTATGGATGGTGAGTGACTGAGATAAGTTCTTGTGTTACGAGCAGCCATCTCTCTATCTCTTTCATTTTCCCCCACATATACCCCATGACTGAAGAGCAGGAGGGGGGCAGACAAAGGGGCAGGACAGCTTTCTATGTCTTAAAGAGATAGCACCTGCTGTCTCTCTGAAACGTGCCTAGCAGCAGCGAGCTCACACATCTAAATCTCTGTTTCTCACACACAGAGTCACTGTCGCACACTCAGTCTCTGGGCTACACACAAACACAATCTGTGTCACAAAGTGTCTCTCTCTATCCTCCAATCCCCACCCTTTCAGCGACCCAGAGCTGGCCTGTGATGATTTACCAAAATTTGTGGAGTGCTCCCCCACCCCATGAAAATTATTGCCCACCCCTGAGCTGGGCACTATTCATTCTCACAAATTCCATCCTGTGAACAAAGATCAGCTTCTCCCCTTCAAAATAATAAAACTTAGAAACAAGCTAAATCCAAACTTTGTAAGCTAGGGTATGTCTACACTACCCCGCTAGTTCGAACTAGCGGGGTAATGTAGGCATACTGCACTTGCAAATGAAGCCCGGGATTTGAATTTCCCGGGCTTCATTTGCATAAGCGGGGAGCCGCCATTTTTAAATCCCCGCTGGTTCGAACCCCGTGCAGCGCAGCTACATATTTTCAACACAAACTAGGGCTCCATCAGATCAGAGGTCACCCAAAACTGACTTTGTGACTGAGAGCTCCTGATATTTAAAGAGAGTTTAAGATATTGGAGTGTTTAGAAAGGTATAGCACAGTTTCTGTGTGCTTGAGGGAAGAATTTATTTTGGCTCACTTTGTAGATGTATGGTCTGTGAACCAGAAACTGATATCTGAACTGTAGTAATAAGCATAACATTTGATCTCAGAATAAGTTTCAATGGACAATCATTTGTGTATTAGTCAGACACAGGTAAAACAAAAGAGAGAAAAAGAGAACAGCTGTCTCCAGGTTCATGACGTGAAAATGTAGAAAAATCTGGATAAAAAAGTAGTAAATTGAGGTGAAATGGATAGATAGGGGATGGAAAAATGGAAAGGATATCAGTAGGATTTTATTAATTTACTGCAAGAATAAAGTTGCACTTTTAAAGAACAGTGGAACTTCAAATTCTGCTGGATTCTCAAGACTCCTATACTCATCTGAGTTTCAAGTTCAAATAAACTCCCAAAATTCAAAGTTGAACTCCATTGAAAATAACAAGTTTCATACAGTTTTAAATTGGAATATCATTAAAGGTCTATAAAAGCGACGAGAAGTCCTGTGGCACCTTATAGACTAACAGAATTATAGTAGCATAAGATTTCTTGGGCAAAGACCCACTTCATCAGATGCATGTTAAAGGTCTAATATTTTTCTAGATTTTGTATGGTTTCAGGCTTTAAAATGAAGGATTTGCATGACTCCAGTTTTGAATATTTAATAAAACTGAATGAGCTTATTCAATAAAAACTTTTACATTAAATAAATAGAGGAGAGTTTCTTCAAAATTCCATGGATTCTACAGGTATATGTGTTTCTCAAGAGTAGTAGTTTGGTGAGACTTTTGATGTATGCAAGACCAAAGTTTTTCCCTTGGGATTTTTACATTTCCTTTAGATTTGAATTACATGAACTCTCAAACTGAGGACACATGTATTCTCAAAATAGTTCTATTCCCACTCAAAAGATATTTGTGAGGCAAGCATGAGGAATTTTATGCCACACTCACACTTTTGGATTTGTCCGCTACTAATATAATTAACTGTAAACAAGTAACGGCACATAAATCATAAACATAGAATGTTCTGGAAATATAAAAAATACATAATGTATAAAAGCCTAAAGTAAATGCATATTCACTTCCCATGTAGTGACCTGTATGTTTTTCTTTCTTAAGAAAGTTGCCATGGTAGAGCATTAATGAATAATTAGCACTATAAGCCGCTTCCACTTGCAATCAAGACACCGTTAAAGAATACAGAACAGCAATCAGGTCAGAAACTAGACATCCTACACTTTAAATTAATATTTGTGTGCTGTTCTTAGTGTCCAAATTCACCCTTTCCAAATTCACCCAATTTCCAGAGTAGGTAATTTTGGGTCATTTAAACAGGAACAAAAAGTAAGTTAGGTATGCTCCTGTGTCTTCCTTCTTCCTATGGTTTATCCCTGGCCCTAGTTAGAGTTAACAGAACTCACTTAGGGTGCATCTAGACTACAGGATTTTTTCAGAAAAAAGGCTGCTTTTCTGAAAAAAACTTCACTTATGTCCGCACTGCTATTGCGTTCTTCTGAAAGAAAAATCAAAAGAACGCAGGGGTTTTTCCGACATTGGTAAACCTTATTCTACAAGGAAGAACACCTTTTCCAAAAGAGCTCTTTTGGGAAAAGGCATGTGTGGATGAGGAAGAGAGAGCTTTTTCGAAAAAAGAGGCCTCCAGGAAAAAGCACAGATGCCCTGGTGGCCATTCTGTCCATAGTAGTCACAGCTTAAATGTGAGAGAGCATCCATTCAGTGTTGATGCTATCTTTCAAAAAAAGCAGATCACTTTTTGATGTGCTTTTGCTGTGTGGAAGTTCTCTTCACAGAAAAAGCTTTTCCAAAAGAAGCTTGCAGTCTAGCCTTCACCTTATTGTGGTGAGTCAGGAGGAAGAGTTCTGCACATCTATGCTGGGATCTAGAATGTCAGGTACTATTACAATCCCTCATTTTAC